GATTTACACAATTCCGATGTATACAAATTTAAGAGTTTCATTTTCAATACCGTTATTATTCAATCTAAGCGGAGACAACATGAGGCGTCAATCGCCTCTACTAGGTAGGGGGGGTTGGCAATTCGAAACAATTGTTGATCTGTCCTACCATAAAGTGATACTCGATGACGGTTTGCGGGGAGTTTAGGGCGTCTCCTTTTTTATAAATGAGTGCGAAAACTGAAGCGTGCATCTCAGCGTCCGCCTATCCCCTGCAGGTACATAGGTATGTTTGAATATGTAGATGAAATGTGGGCTGATCACGGCACGCCAATGTATAGGCCGACATAATTAGCCGGAACTCGGAACCCCGCGGCGGAACTTGGGTATTCCTCATCAAGCATCTGCACAAAGTACCCAAGTGAACTTTTAAAAAAAAAATAGATATTATGGAAACGATTTTATTACTTTTGTATGGTAAAAATGCCGGCTTCTTTCTTTAATGTTTTATTTCTTGAAACAATGGGTTTCTTGAAATTAAGTCTAAATGGGTGTATTTAGTGGAAAACGTGATTCTAAGGAAAGTTTGTGGGTTGGAAATAAAGTTTGCAGCCGGCAATGATGTTTAAATAATACTTTTAACCCGGGAGGGAAAATGCGTCGATTAATTTTTTTATTAAGCTGTTTTTGCCAACAAATTCTTATTACCAAAAAGGGAAAAAATTGTTTGTTATGTAATGAAACTGTAATGGTTAATGTCGACATTGATATACATGGTAAATGTAAACACTAACGTGGAGTGCGTGAAATATTTTACGAATGTTGATATTTGCATAGAATGTCTAAAATATTACTAATTATTTAAAGTATTCTATGTGATTACATTCACATAGAATGCTTGAAATAATTAGTAAATATTGGATATAAAGTTTGCAGCTGGCAATGATGTTTAAATAGTACTTTTGACCAGGAAGGAAAATGCGTTTCTTTACTTTTTTACTAAACGGTTTTTGTAGAAAAATTCTTATTACCTAAAAGAAGAAAATTTTTTAGTTATGTAATTAATGTTAGTTATGGTTAATGTCGCCATTGATATGCATGGTAAATACTGGTATTCACAAAGAGTGCATGAAATATTTTACGAATGTTGATACTTAAAAGAATGTCTAAAATATTTGGTGAATGATTACATTAACATAGAATGCTTGAAATATTTGGGTAATGTTGGCATTCACACGAAATACTTGACAAGTGTTTAGTACATTCATTAAAAAAATGCTTAAAATACATGTGTTGCATGTTGACATTTACATAAAATGTCTAAAATATTTGTAAATGTTTATATTAACATAGAATTCCTGAAATATTTGGTGAATACTGACATTTGCATGATTTTCTTAAAATTTTATTTTCATAAATTTAAATTTATATCGATGCATATCTTCCAAAAAAAGAACAATATATGTATATATATATATATATATATTGTGTGTGTGTGTGTGTGTGTGTGTGTGTGTGGGCACTTTTCGACTGTAAACTGGTCCCGTTTTTAAGTGAAGAAAGGTTCCTTGCTGCCTTTGGATCAGCTATAGGATAGAAACTAAAACTATTAAAAACTAAAACTGATACTAAAATAAGGTGGATGATTGTTAAACAAAATTTTACAATTTTACAAAATAAAAAAATTTTACAATCTCCCACATACGCCACCACTCCAAAAATTTGAAGTACATCATTTCGATTTTTTTTAGTTTAAATAACTACTTTTTGCAGTAAATTATTAAATGGAATATTTATTTAGAAAAACATTTATTTTCAATGCAGTTGCTGAAGAAAAAGCATAAATAAGGAGTATTGTAGTGCCCTTAAAGAAATAAATTAAATTTGATAATTGCAAATGGAATAAAATTCCTTCTTGTGTGAATAACTATGTTTCAAAAGCAATGACCTCACGAACCAGTCCACAGTTCAGCGCCTAAATCTCGAGAAATGGTTATCTATTTCAAAAATAATGATTGACAAAAATAGACAGTATTGAGTGTAAACATTGTTCATTGTAATTATCCGATAAATTTGCAAAAATAAATAAATAAATGTGAATAAAGAAAATAAGCACTGTGTCAATGTTATTTCACTATGAAGGGCCGTTCGAATATTACGTAAGCATANGTGAAGATAGGTTCCTTGCTGCCTTTGGATCAGCTATAGGATAGAAACTAAAACTACTAAAAACTAAAACTGATACTGAAATAAGGTGGATGATAGTTTAACAAAATTTTAAAATTTTACAAAATAAAAAAATTTTGCAATCTCCCACATACGCTACCACTCCAAAAATTTGAAGTACATCATTTTGACTTTTTTTTAGTTTAAATAACTACTTTTTGCAGTAAATTATTAAATCGAATATTTATTTAGAAAAACATTTATTTTCGATGCAGTTGCTGAAGAAAAAGCATAAATAAGGAGTATTGTAGTGCCCTTAAAGAAATAAATTAAATTTGATAATTGCAAATGGAATAAAATTCCTTCTTGTGTGAATAACTATGTTTCAAAAGCAATGACCTCACGAACCAGTCCACAGTTCAGCGCCTAAATCTCGAGAAATGGTTATCTATTTCAAAAATAATGATTGACAAAAATAGACAGTATTGAGTGTAAACATTGTTCATTGTAATTATCCGATAAATTTGCAAAAATAAATAAATAAATGTGAATAAAGAAAATAAGCACTGTGTCAATGATATTTCACTATGAAGGGGCGTTCGAATATTACGTAAGCATATTTTTGAACTGCCCCTTCCCTCTTGTCAGCAAAAACAAGCAAATTATAAATCCTCTTTTATACTTACGAAAGAAAGTTAGGAAGCTAATTCATAGATTTATGCGAATAATAATGTCGCGAGTGACATTGATTAAAGATTCCATTTAAAAACCATACATCGATATTTTTTTTTAATTGTTGAGTAGCCTTATCCATAAAAGCAAGGCCAAAAACGCGCATCAGACCAAGTTAGCATAAAATATTTTCTGCTGAAGTTGGCGGTCGCCAGAAGAAACATTATTTCGCCAGAAATTTTACGACTGAGCATATATCATAAGGACAAGAAAGGATTTCTTATTCTATGTCTTACATTTCTTAACTTCCGAATTGGAAACTTTAGATGCAAAAAAAAAAAGAAACATCCTTAAATTAACTCGGGTAAGACTATCATAAAGTAGAAAAAAAGACCACCCATATTACGAAAAACTAAAAGAAAAACTACCTCCAGTGTTGAAGTGTCACATTAGTTACTTTTGACGTTAAAAAAGCGTTAACACAAGACTCTTCTCGAACAGAAACTAAAGTAACATTTTGAAACATATGTTGCTTGTTGTTCTTTCAACTTACATTTTAACAGAATTCCGACGTATACGAACTGGTTTAAAATGTTTATCTGTTTTTTAAGCAGACTAACAAAGGAATTTCTAAGCTGACCTTCAAAGAATTTAAATAATTGTTCTTTTTTTGTTTTTATAATAGCATTGAACAGCTTTTGAGCTTTTTTATCATTCAAATTTTTACGAAACTTGCTCTTTAGTAATATAAAATGTCCATTCGAACTGGTAATATTTTATTTATTTATGGAAATTATCAAAAAAATAAAATTCTCTTTTCGTCAGAGAAGTGTGGATAAAAGGAAGAAACGTTGAACTTTTATTTTACTTTTTCAGCTTAATTAACAATTTCTGTTTACATTACTCTATTAAAAGGAAGCTATACCACGGGCGAAATTCTTAACTGCAAATTCTCCTTTACCGTCATAAGCAATTTAAAATTTAAAGTATAGAAAAAGTGAGATTAGTCAATTCTAGAAAAAAACCATAAAGTTTCAAAACTGAAAAAAAAATTTCAAAATTTCAACACACAAATTAATTATGCCAGAATTAAAATTACGCAGCGTGGAAGTTATTCCGCAACAGTTTGTTTGAATTTTGATATTTCATAAAAAAATTTTCAGCTCTTCAAATTTCAAGGTTCACCTGAACTCACCGTACTCTAAACTTTAAATTTTAGAATAATAATTAAGGGGAAATAGAACTTTACATGAAAAGTTTCTCCCATGACGCTGTCATAAAAGGCCCTTCCTCATTTCAAAATTTTTTTTCAGAATTTCAAACTTCATGATTCACTTTAGTTTTACCTAAACTCACTGTTCTCCAAACTTTAAGTTTTAGAACATCAATGGAGGGAAAATAGAACTTGACATGAAAAGTTTCTCCCGCGATATAGCGCCTTCATAAGAGGCCCTTCCTCATTTCAACATTTTTTCAGCTTTTCATGCTTCATGGTTCACTTTAGGTTAACCTGAACTCACTGTTCCCTTAACTTTATATTTTGTAATACCAATGAAGGGGGAAATAGAACTTGACATAAAAAGTTTCTCCCGTGGCATGGCGTCCTTCTTCAGCATTTTCAGTTGCATTTTGCAGCATTTCAAACTTGATGGTTCACTTTAGGCTTACATGAACTCACTGTTCTCCAAACTTTAAATTTTAGAACACCTATAAAGGGCAGATAGAACTTGACATGAAAAGTTTCTCCCGTGGTATAGGCCAATTTCACTATCATTACAAAATCAAATTTATAGTATACAAAGTATAAGTTCTATAGTTCCTTGAGTAGTGAGCAAATTTGAAAATATATCACCTTAAATAGTTTTTACAATAGCTTTTACAGTAATAAATAACTTAAATAATCAGCAAGAAATATTTTTCTAATTTAGAAATTTAACAAAACCGAAGTGAATAGAAGTTAAATATTATAAAATTATCTATCACGATTCACAAATTTAAGTAAATCTTATTAAGAGCATAAATATATTTATCATACAACTGAAAAGCATACATACCTTTTATAACAGTTTACATGAGTAGTTTGTCAGGTCAATCCAGCAACAAGATTAAAATTACTTGTCAAATAATCGACCACAATCAATATCCCAGATCAATCAGTAAAAGAAGATTGAAACTTACTTGGCATTAAATGAGCTATGATCAGTTTGCCAACTCAATCCATAGCAGATAATCGACTATGATCTTGGAACTTGTTCTTCCGCAGATACTGGAATCGATAGCTAATTCTACACTGTAAAACATTCCTAATCAAATTATGGTAAAACTAGCAGCACTCAACAGTAAAATCTATTTTTATTATTCTTGCTAAGATTTAATTACACTCTTTAAAATGTGTATGTATAATAATTATTCACATAATTTTTTAATTTTTTTTTTTAACGTCAATTCAATTCACACAATGCTTAGAGTTTTTCAATTCTCATGGATATTACACCAAATTTTTTACAATGTAGGATTGCTATTAAGCATTAAGAATTTTGTTTAAAATATGATATCTGTGACGTGATAATTCTTGATGATACCGATTTAATCCGAAGTTATTGCACGTACTTATCAATGATTATTCTTTCTTGATTTCTATGTCAGGTGAATACAAGTTAAACTGCTTAGATATATTTCGTTGTATATAGGAACATAGTTTTCGAAATAATATTTTTAAAGCTATTAGAAAGCATTTATACTTTTAAAACGCCTTTCTATTGACATAAATCAATATTGACATAAGTCAAGCAGGAATTAAAAAGGATAAATTTGAAGGGCTGTGCTCTAAGTGTTTCTTTACAGTGCATTTTGATAGTTAATACTGGGACAGTTTAACTGTCCCAGTATTAACTGTCAAACAGTTTTATTAATAGACAGTTTTTACTGGGGCTGTTGAAGATGTAATTGGTATCAAATCATTTTTGTCAACAAAAAAAAATTTTTTTTGTCGAATTTTCGTGGTTAGTTTGTAATAAACCTATATATCAGCTGTTATTTTCAATTTGTTTTTTTAAATTTCCTTATACTACTTTAGATTTCACTTTTTAAATGTGTTTATTTCTATAAACTTAAAAGAAAAGAATTTCTGAATTCCTGCTTACCATTTTCATTATCTTTTTAAATTACGTTTTCGTAAATATATAGGAAGAGCATACTCAATGAGTGTTATTACATACATGCATACATATTCTTCTTCACTCCGAATTGAAGCATAAGGCTTCTATCATAGCTTTCCATCTCATTCTATTTGTGGCCAGATTATTTTGCCTCTCTCCATGTCTTTCCTATTGTTTTCAATTCACTTACTATCACCCTGCACTAAGTATTATTTAGGTCTTTTTTTTCTATAGCACTGAGGGTTCCAACCAAAAATTTGCCTTCGTGGAGGACTTTTTGATTTACCCAATCCGCATTTGCTTTACATAGAGAGGAAAACCACAAAAACCTTACACAGTTAGCCTAACGGCAAGGGGATTCTAACCCATGATCCCACTACCACTGAGGATAGTTTATGTCAGCACTGTGGTCGTTGCAAGCCGGATGCGGATTTCGAATCAACCTGCCATTGCTGGGATTCGAACCTGAACATCCGAATTTGAAAAGATCAAGCATAGCTGATCAAGCAATATTGATCAAGTTAATTTGGCAAGATCAAGTAGAGCCGGGATAGCCTGGTTGGTAGCACATTAGGCCCATGTACAAAGAGGTCGTGGGTTTGAACCCCACCGGCCGAAGACTGCTAGTGTAGTAAATGGTGAATGATGCACGTTAAATCTGCCGAGTCACGAAGTCCTCTTTATTCACATTGCAAATTATACCTCAGGGGGTCGAGGAGTTTCCTTGTCTTCTGGATTGGCTCAAAATTACAAGGTTGTGGAGTTGAACATTAGTAGTCGCAAATCCGAAATTGGATCGGCTGTTTAACGACTCTTATAAAATAAAAAATAGAAAAATATCCAGTATTTGTATAAAAACAACGAAACATTTGTTCCTCCCGGTAATCCTTTCTACATGACCCGAAATTAAAATATCACAAATTTTTATTGTTTTCTTACAAATTGCTCAATCCATTTTCAAAATAACTAAAAATATAATTAAGAAATCCTTAATTTTGGAAATATATTTCATTTCAATTTTTTTTTCTCCACTTCTATTAGTTTAATTAAGAAATTGTGTAAAAGTACTTAAATGTAAATTTAATTTTACTGCAAAATTAAAATTTAATTTAAATTTATTACTTGTTTTTAAAAATGAATGTCTCTCAGGAAGTAGTAAAAATTTCTGAAGATAAACTTGATTAAACCCATTCAGTCCGAAACCCCAAATTTTTTTTTGCAAATTTTGAGCAAAATATTCTTTAGGAATTTTCTATATTTTCCTTTTGTGTTCAAAACTCTTCATGTATGGAATTCTCCAAAGAAATATTTTGCAATTTTTTCTGAGCGCTTGAATTCATCTTTCATTGCAAATTGCATTTTTTTATATTGCATTAAAAAAACTGAAAAAGGCCTTTTCCAATATTTTAATGCCTAAAGCTGCATTGCTCACTCAACTCTTATCCCTTGTTAGCAAAAATAATCAAATTGCATACACCCTACTCCCGCATAGACCCATATTCCTATATTCTCAAAACTGATTATGGTATGAGTTTTGCATGTAATGCTAAGTATATTTGTAATTTGGAAAAATATGAATATGCTGAAAATTTTACAATAGATACTGCTTTTTTGAAAAATACTGCATAGAAATTTTAAGAAATATAAGAAGAGGATAATTAGACAATTTTGGTCAATATTGCTATTAATATACTGCCAAATAAGTAACGTTTAAAATAAGAAATAGTATTCTAATTATTGTATTGTATTGTTAGAATTTAAATTATTCTTTCATCCTCAGTCACCCCCTCCTAATACTTTTTTTTAACATAAATTTTCTTTTCTTTAAGAGCACATTGAATTTCTCACGCTATTGTTTATTTTACAATTTCAAAAGCAATCCTTTACTTTGTTTATTTTAGTGACGTCCAATAGATGGCGCTATCAATGCTTTGAAAAAGACGAATTCTTATCGTTTGTATTTGAGTTGTGCAGGAAAAACATATTTAAGGAATTAGAACATCTCAATGCGCAAAAATAGCATTGATTGATTTAAATATTTTTAAAAACAATTTTTAAAATTAAAATTAAATGTAATTATTATTTTTTATTTAATTTGCGATATTTTGAAATATTTAAAAGGAAGCAACTTAGAAAAATGGAAATGGGAATGATTGATTTGATATCTTCTTCATTTCTCACGGAATAACACACTTAAATTTTTTTAAAAACATATTTTTGGTTAAAAGTAGAATTTTATAAATAGCAGTTTTCATGTAAAGTAAAAAAAATCAGGTAATGGGATTCTCAATTTTGACTTCATTCAAAAGAAATTGATTTAAAGTGTTCTTAAATTGCATTTATGTTGAACCATTATGTAAACCTTTTAAAAACTATTAATGATATTGAAGATTGTAAGTTGAATATAACGAATATATTTGAGATTGAATCGCTAAGTGAAGAAGAATCAGCCACTTAATTTGTATAGTCATCTTAAAATTGTTGTGTAATGAGCCTTAATATTTTCTTAGTTTAAAAGTTATCTTTAAAAAAATGGACTGTGCTAAAATATTTAAGCGGGTTCTTTTCGTTTTCTTTTCTTGCCTCGATATTTTTTCTCGTGGTGCGCATGCAATTATTTCCTTAAAAATAGTTAAAAGAGTGTCTTATTAGTTTCCATTTTCTTTTATGCAGCAAAATCTTGACAAACGTATAAAAAGTCTAATTTTAACAATCATTAAAAATCCTTATCATTAAAAACCACGGTAAATAAGTTTCCAAAATTCATTAGAAATATTATTTAATAAAAATAAAGATAAATAAGGGATATCTTTTAAAGTTTTTAGAATCAAGAAAACACAAATATTTATTTTTCTAAACAACAGTAATTCGCAATTGAACTAAGACAACTTTTGCTGGCGAAGAAGACTTGATAAAGTTTTTGCAAAAGATTTTTTCCAGTAAATCCAACTTTCTGCTTTAGCAATTGATTTTTGGTATAATATATGAGATTTAACATAATTTTGATAAATAAATAATGGAAAAATGGCCTGATTATGATCGTCATGATTAAATTCTCGAAAAATTAAAATTGTTTGTTGAAAAACATTCAAGTAATCATTGATTTTTAGTAACTGAATAGTTACATAATTTTTTTCTTCCAATTACAGTGCATACTAAAAATAAGTTTGTATATAATTATTAGCACATTTGAATGTATTTTTCAAATCATTGTGAAATAAGGCTGTGATATTGCGTTGTAAAGTTTCGATAATATTACTGATTATCAGCCAAAACTGATTACTGTTTCGTGTAGTTTCTTTTTAAACTATTGGTTTGGTAATATATTATTACATTATATATATATATATATATATATATAATGTAATTGTAATAAATGTTTATTTCAATTTGACATCGCTTAGAAGTGAATGTAAACCTGAAAATGTGCATTGTTTGTGGGTAAATATAAATTGAACGATTGTATCAGTATTTTTAGAAGAGTATAATGCAATACTTTTATGAAAATCTTTATCATGCGATAAAAATTACTCTATAAAAAATTTAATCGTTCCATTTTTATTAAAAAAAACATATTTTAGGTAAATTGAAGTTCTCATTGAAACTCAANTTAGAAGCTTTAAAATTTTTTTAAACAAAAGCAGTCAGATAAGTAATTTAAAAAATACATTTGAAATAAAAAACAAGGGGAAAAAATTACTGCAACACAAATATTATAAAAAATTTACTTACGGTGTTGTAATTCGTAATTAGGAAACAAAACCGACAATATGAATGGGTAAAATGTTAACCGGTAGCACAATGTTTTTGAAAAATCGTGATTTCTGACGCAGCTGGAATAAAAATTAAAACTGTGTTAGATTTTTTGGAATCTTAACTTAATTGTGAAATAATTATGAGATTTTATTGTCGAAAAACGGAAGTTCTTCCACCGAAGAGAAAAATAAAATAAAAAACTGTCTTAATCTTGAAGTAAATCTATAATTTGATATTACATAAATACCATCTTAAAGTAAATAATTATTAGGACTTTAAAACCGACAAAAAGCTAAAATATTTCTAAAAAACTTTTCAACTCTTTAAATTTTCCAAAAACATCATTAAAATGCTTTTATTTTCGTTTATTTGTTTATTTTTATGGATATATGCAGTACAGTATTTGCGTAAATAGATCAATTGATTATACGAAAATCATGTTCGCTTTGAGCTTCAATAAAATACAACACATTAATTAAAAAAGGGAGATTCACCATTTATGAAATACGTATTCATTATAACCGTCTGTCAACGTTTTAGAGTTGTTTACCTATTTGGCGAAAATTTTTGCACCAAGAGGAAATTCATTTAAATCAAGAAATAATTTTTAAATTTTGCAAACTATACAACGAAGTTTTTTTCCAAGAATTTGTGTCAATAATATTTAAAATAATACTGAAAATGCTTTTATTTGCACAAATTTATGACTCTTTTTTTATTGACATTTTGCTTCATTTCATAATTAGTATAGAAAAAGTTTGCTAAGTACCAACACCCTAAGTTCCGGTACTTTTTAACATAAAATTCACTTTTGATATAAAATTTTACGGCACAAAGAATCTGAAATACCATATTTTCTACAGTAGCATTTACTAAAAAAATCACTGAAGTACTAAAAATATTACTACAAAAATTACGGTATGAAATTTTACGAAAAAAATGGATTTTACGGATAATGCCTTTTAAAGAGCCGATACTTTTTACCGTAAATTGATATAAAATTTTTTACAGCTTGAAATAACTGTTATAAACGTGCAGCAATTATAACGATTACATATTATTTACTAATTGCGTTATTTCATGCGATGATGATTTTCATTTTATTAAATAAATAAGTGAAATTTTCGAAGCAAACGTGTACTTAAAGAGCGGAAGAAAAAAAAACAAACTTTTGATCAAATATCATAACGTGACAAAATGCTATAGGTATAAATAAAAAATAATAGATTTGTAAAATTTTATCTAAGTTTATATCAAGTCGTGGTCTCTTATCTAAAAAATCTAAAAGCAACCAATCTTCTTCATGAAAAATACTTATCACTTTTTTCTTTACATGAAGAGGGAAAAACAATTGCCATAACAGGTTTTGAACGTAGCCTAGGCACCGCCTTTGTGCTGAAGTACCTCCCATTTTCTACTTTTATTTGTTTTATTTATTTTTTTCTTTCCAACCAAAATGAAGGAAAATCTTGATAGCGTGACTAAATCGGCAACTTCGGACATAGAACAAAATATTCTATGCCAAGTTCTCAAGTATATTTCATTCCTCAATTATACTTTGACAACTTGTTATTACTCAAATAAACTGATTCAATCCAAGGCGCAGATTATCGCCAAACAGTTTGTGGTTGTTGTGTATTTAATTAGAGTGAATTTATTTTGTGCAGTCTGCAAATTTTCGTAAGTTTCTGAGTTAACTAGTTGAGAGATTAATTAAATTATTTCGCTGTGTCTTTCTTTTTCTTTTCTTTTTGAAATTACGTTCTAATTTTCCTCGAGATCGAATTTGTGAAATCCATGGAAAATGTGGAGATAATAATTCAGGAATTAATCATAGGCTGTGTCAAAAGTAGAATTAGAAAATAGCTTGATATAATGTTTCGTGATAACGGTGCGGTTCCAGTTATGTTTTAATTTATTCGTTGTTTTAACAGGGTTGAGATAAAAATGTTAGAAAGAGGTCATACAAATTAACTCCTTGAAATAAATAATAAATAAATAAAGTCCAAATGTAGTGTTTTATATAAAATTGGATGATTGACTTGATTTTTTTTAATAAAAAGAAAATCATAAATACACATTTGCCTTACGTGGCACCAAAATTACGACTATTTTTTTTCTTAGTTGGCAACACTTTAGTGCTATGCATAAATGCTATAAATAAACTTTGTAAATGTATCACATACTAAAAAAGAAAAGAAAACTCTGATTTTGAATTAGAAACTACTTTGCCGTACCCCTTCCCTTTCCTTCTTTTTGAAATGGCGTTCTAATTTCCTATAGATCGAATTTGTAAAATTCGTTTTGTGTAGATATCAATGCGGGAATCAACAGAAGATTTAAAAAATGGTTTGTTTGCATAATGTTTCGGGATAACAGTCGGACTGTCGTTACGTTTTAATTTATGCGCTGTTTTTAATAAGGTTAAGAGAAGTTATTTGAAATAACTCCTCATGTAAATCATCGGACAAATAAGATTTTGTATATCAAGAGTTAAAAGATATGATTAGATTTTTTAAATCAAAACAATGTTTATTGCTGTTATTGCTATTATTATTATTAATAAAATAATATTTTTTAATTTGGAAGGAAATTTCAAATTCTGAAGGAAATTCCAAGGATTACAAATTTATTCATCGAAAGAAAATGAAGTTAAGAGACAAAACAACTCGAAAATTTTGAAAGAAAATTTTTTTTTTCTTCAGCTATTGAAAGTTAAATGATGTCTAAAAATTTAAATACTTGAATTCTGAATTACTGCATAACTTCTAAAAGTGTATCCAGAAAACTTTACAAGCGAATTTCTCGAAAACTACACTATTCAAATCAGCCGAATTCATAATCTGAAAAAACTCTTCTATAAGTGTTATAAGAATATCTAAGAACGCATCATTTGTACAAATCCCTTTATAGGGTTATTTATGCACTCGAATTCTGAATTATTTCATAGATTCTCACAATTTATTACGTCTATCCAGAAAACTTAAAAAGCGTATTTCTCGAAAACTAAATTTTTCAAGCCAACCGAGCTCATAGCTTGAAAAAAATGTTCTAAATGAGTACCTCAGTGATATAAGGATATCTAAGAACTCATCACTCGAACAAATCTATCTTATAAGTTAATCTAAGTATTCGATTTCTGAATTATTGCACAACTTTGCACATCATTGATCCAGAAAACTTCAAAAGCATACTTCTCAAAAATTACAGTTTTTCAAGTCAGATAAGCAAATTTTCCCTGAGTAGATTCAAATTTAAACCGTGCGTTTAAAGTCACTCTAATGAATGAAAATACGTTGAATAGTGTTATTATTTTTAACTTCTAGCTGATTTATTTATAAATTTAAATTTTTCTTCTTAAAAAAGTTGCTGTTTTTATAAAAAATAGTTTAATAATAACAAAAACAAAAATATACCTATACACATATTCTGAAAAATATTAATTGCAAACAGTAGGTGCCGTTAGTTTGAACGTAGGAGAAAGGTTTCATCGAAGAGAAACTGAACAGCCACCATTTTGTTTCATATATCTTCGGAAAAAAAATTTTTTTATTGTTCTCTAGCTGTACTACAATAAAAGATTTTTTTTCAAAATTTTGATTTTTTTTCTTCCTATTACCAAACTAAAAATTTTCAAAATATACCTATTATATTTTGATTTGTTTTATTAGCTATCTAAAAATAATTTTCAAACTGAGCTTGTTATATTTTAGTTTATTCCATTTTTAGCTGAAATACTTTTCAAAATGAGCTTATTATATTTTGATTTATTCCATTAGCAAAAATTATTTTCAAAATGAGTATGTTATATTTTAATTTATTTCTATTTGGAATGGATAAAAATAACTTTCAAAATGAATTTATTATATTTCTTTTTTAAATTTATTTCATTAACTAGACGAATACAATTTTCAAAATGAGCTTATTATATTTCAATTTATTCTATTAGATAGCTAAAAATAATTTTCAAAATATGCTTCTTATATTTTGATTTATCTCATGAGCTAGCTAAAAATATATTTGAAAATAAGTTTATTACATTTCAGTTTATTCCATTGCCTAGCTGAAAACAATTTTCAAAGCATACTTCTTACAAATTTCCGCAGTGAAAAGTCCCCTAATCTCTTGATAAAAAGAATATTTTGTTATTCTGATTATTATTACAAAAAAATCTTTTTTCAGGGAATATATTTATTAATAGAGATTCCAAATATTCCTTTTTATAAAGTTATTACTGCACTTCTCGTTGGCGTATCAAAGCATCATTAATAAGAGAAATAACTTTAATTCTTGAAAAATTTTTAAATGGGTAATTATATATATGCTTAAACAAACATTACAAAACATTTAAAGTAGAACATGAACAAGCAAAATCAGTAGGCGTTTTGTAATAAATAGCATTGTGTAATGAACATATGATACAGTTGAGAAAAAATCTATACAATTATTCAGTTCCTTTTGATTGAGTTAACCACATTGAAATAGGCTTAATGCTATTATACCTGACTTTCGATTGGGTAACATTTAATTAGTTGAATGCTGTTCATTCTTTGGTCTATAAGCACTAGTGAATCTAGATGTTTAGACTGTTAAATTAAGCTGTCTGATTGCCATCGTTTCCCTAGCGATTACCAAAAATATTGTTACTGTTTAATAAATTATGTGTTTATACATTTTTTATTAATTTACAAACTCATCGACCGCTTAGATCAATGCTGATTAGCCAGGGCCGAGGTAGCCTGGTCGGTAGGGCGCTGGGCCCATATCCAAGAGGTCGTGGGTTCGATCCTCGCCGGCCGAAGACTCCCCGTGTAGTAAATGGTGACTGATGCACGTTAAATCTGTCGAGTCTCAAAGTCCTCCATGTTCCCACAACAAATCAATACCTCTGGGGGTACTGATCCAGGAGTTTCCTTGTCTTCTGGATTGGTTCAAAATTACAAGGCTACGGAGTTGAACGTAAGTAGTTGTAAACCCATGAAATTGGGTCGGCTGTTCAACGACGGCTGTAAAATAAAATAAAATGCTTATTAGCCGATTCAATAGTACGATGATTGTCTGATTCGTTGATCCGCTCATTGTGCGATACGATATTATGCCGATTCACAAATACATTAATGCGTTGATTCCCTATTTTATCTTATTATTATTTTTATTTCTACATTATCATTATTTGAAATAATTTTCCAAAATTGCTTGGATGACTTACATCGTCAAATAGAGAAAACATAAGAAGTAATCATCGACAACAAATTCTAACAATAATTTGTTTTAAAAAACTGGTAATTTGATAATTTAATTTTCATTTTGTTTCGTCATTATGGAAACGCAGAAAATCTATTTCTTTACAATGAAATGTAGAAGTTTTCCAGGTAGTATTTTACGGGTTTTTTAGAATTTCCTGTATATAACAGCACAAAACAAAGAGGCATCTTATTGCCTACATATAAATCGTGGAGTTATTTACCCAAAACGCTCTTAAAAACTCTCATCTGGATAATTTGAGAACGTGGTTTATTATACCCCTTATCCGAAACCTCGCTATGTAAAATACATCCAAAAAACAATTATTTATTACATAAAAACAAATTAGGATTAGGAAGAATAGCTTTTGGGTTAAGGACGAGTTTGTAATACTTACCTGAAAATCGCGATAGAAATTTATTATCTATATCATTAATAGCATGATGTCTGTTAATTTGTTAGCGTTGTAACTCCTCCAAAAGTCCATATGACTGAATATTATAATATAAGCTTCCAGAAAAAGAAAAGGAGACAAAAAAGAATAACGTATCCTTTGGAACAGTCAAAAACTCCCTTGTAGAACATGCTCTCTAAAAATAGAATTAAAAAAAAAGTGATTTTAGAAAAACGAAATCCGTATTATTATTTATAAATTATTTATTATTATTTTAAAAATAAAATCTGATTTCACTTCATTAATGCCTAATTGATTTTTATTTTCAGTGATGTTTTTAGATAGCATTGAAAAATAGCGAAAACATCTAAAAAAATCTTGCTTGATTTTTTATTTCTCTTGAATAATAAGAAAACACTGAAAAGTTCCCTTAAATTTAGTTAATGTAACAAAAAATAAGCGCTGTGAGGAAAATTAAAAAAAAACGTTGTTAAAAATTATATAAAGCAACTGTGTCAGTTTTGCAGTCGGTGAGAACCGTGGGCAGAACTCGTACGAGCATTCAACAGGGGCAGTTATAAAATAGTAAAAAAAAATTAATTTCATTCTCAGAAATAAAACTCTCACTTTTGACGATTCTGCAATCCTTGAGCAACATTTCATTAGTTTTAAGAATCGTTCCGGCACAAAATCGCGTGATTTATGATGAAACGCGAAATCTCAAATATATGACTAAAATGTTTTCTCAACTCCAAACCTCATCCTTAACTAGAATGACGAAACTAGAATAAAGACTACACAATCGAAAATTAATTAACAAATTACGCCGACCGACTTGTATGAGGGACAAGGAGTTGGAGTTGGTACCAGTAAGATACGGGGTTCGAATGCCACTTCGGGCATGGATCTCCTTATTCTATTCGTCCATGTAGTGTTGTCCCACCTATACGGTGCCCATTATAAAGTGATTATTAAGGAAGGTGGATACACTTGGTACTACTAGTTATTCCTTTTTTTTCTCTCTTTTTCTTTTGGAAAAAAAATAGAATGACGATAGATTTCTTTTTGACGAAATTCGTTCCCTTGAAGAAGTGACGATAGTTATTTCGTCACTTTGACAAAATGATCACTCGGTGACGAAATGTTCACTCGGTTTCACTCAAAAATGACGAAAGTTTCATGATATTTGAATATTCATTTTTTACAGTGTTTATGTGACAACAAAGATCTCGAAGAACAGCCGTAATGTGCAACATGAAAGCAATTACAAAATAGATAAATGAAACCAAACTTTCTGGATGATCAATTTTTAACAGCAAAATGATATGTCAATCAAACAATGACGCATTGTTCTGAGGAGGAAAATTTTTCTCGGATATAAACATTGCCTTTTTCCTGATTCAAAAAAGGGTCGACCTCTATTTCCATAATAATGAGCAAAACAGTGAACTAGGTGTGTCTGCTCTGACAGATGAGCAATGAGCTGTAAAAGGGAGGGAAAAAAAATACTCGTCCAATGAATTCGTGAAACAATGTATTAAAATTCTAACTATTGATGTCTGATATAATTTTAATAAAGACATCAAATCTTTATTCGTGACTAAATTAAAGATGTTAGTAATTGATGCGCATGTTATACACGGTCTTAACTCACTAATAATATGGATTACATTGACTTCTATATATTTTATCTGAAAGCAATGCATATAAATAGAGAGATTCAGGATACATGGTCATCTTAATTATTTAACTAAAAGATCGAGTGAGTTAAAGAAATATTTTATTAAATAAAAATCTGTTTGATTTTCAACTAATGGCTTAATTGCTTACTAATGGCTTAGTGCTTACTTTGGCAACTAATGGCTTAACTGCTTAATGGTTTGATTTTCAACTAATGGCTTCAACTAATGGCTTGGAATTAGCTTTTATTTTCTGATTGAAACGCATATTATAGACAATATTAAATTACTAATGGTAAATATAATGTTGAATTCTCCATTTTATCTAAAATCAATTCATATAAATAGCGAGGTCTTACGTATTTGGTTACAGGGTCATTTTAGTTATAGGGTTAAGTGCGTTAAAGCGATCTTTTATAACATGAACAGCTGCTAAATTTTTAACTAATGCTGAAGATTAGTCAGTTTTAATTTTCTAATTGAAATGCATATTAAGTACAGCGTAAAATTACTAATGATAAGTATAAGGTTGATAAATATAACTAATGATAAATATAACGTCTTCAGCTTGTCTGCAATCATTGCAAATAAATAAATGTTTTTATCTATTTATATGATCAAGAAAATTAAAGGAATCATTTATCAAATGAGAAGCTAAAAAAATTTCTACTTATATTGAAACTAATGTTTTTATTTTTATTATTTTCTATTTGAAAGGCAGATTATATATAACATTAAGTTAATAATAAATATAAATTTGTCACCTTTATTTTATCAAATACTAAAAATAGTCAGGTTTTAATCATCCATAAGATCAGGTATATTTCTGTCCTAAGTTTATTTTAAAAGTTGTAAGATGGAGTAAAAGTTTCCTTTTCTAAATTTACATCAATAAAATCTTAACTAAGATAAATTTTTACTAATGACTAGATAGTAATTATCAACTAAAATAATAATTTTTTGCCTAATTTGATTTCAAAATGTTTTCAATCATGATTTCAAAAAATTTTAATCATTTTAAGATAAATTTTCGCGGTTTTTAGAGGATTATTTTCTTGCATTTTTAAGAACAGTCTTTTATGAACTTGAATGTCATCAACACCTTATTCCTTAGTTATAACCATATTTCAGTATCAGACAATGATTAAAATACCAATTACGTACGAAAATTAATTTAGAGTAAGACATTTTTCTAGGTTGTCAAATAATCTAGACAATTCATTTCCCTCTCCGCTAAGCATCATGAATATTCGTAAAGCATGCCAACTAAATGATTTCGTGTCATCAATTTATCCTCAGCTATGCATTGAATAATCTCTTTGCATATAATCCAGGTAGTGTCATAGAAGAATGCGAGGCAAAGGATGAGCGCCCCAACTGATGAGGTGATTTTTTTAGAGCAGCCTTTGCACAAAACGGCCTCTTTTATTTGTTGGCAAAAGTCAGTCGGCGAAAAGGCAGAGCAATTAATACAGGAACGCCTCACAAACGAAGATAAAAGAGCCATTATGTGCCCAGGCACACAGCTCGAGCTGTCAACACTTCTCACGGCCACTTAGTTCTTTTGCAAAGCGAAGAAACGATTATTTACCTTTTGCCTTTGTTAGTCGACTAATTGGTAAAAGCGACTCTTTTGTAGCTGAAGCCTTTTTTTAATCTCTATTGTAGGAGTAACGCATAGAGTGTGACAGCTGAACGATTAATCAACGGTGTTAATAAGAAAGCTTCCGCAGCGATTACTTCTCTAACATGTTCGGTGGTCGAACAACTGTATACAAACTTTCTTTCTTTTACCAATATGGAATCAAAGGATTAAAAATGACTTTATTGAATGGAGTTTCTTAACACTAAAAGATTCTTTTCTTAAAAGATAGAACTAAAAATGCGCCATTTTCTATCGTTATGTTGTCGCAATCAGAGTTTGATTTCAGCCAAACGCTGATTAAATTGCCTGAGACCTTCTGGATCAGAATGGCGGAATCTTTTATTAGTATTTAAATCATGTCCAGCGTTGAATCAAAGGATTAACTGCGACTTTATTGAATGGAGTTTTTTAAGTGCAGAAGATACTATTTTTTAAACATAGAACAAAAACACGCCATTTTCTATGATAATGTTGTCACAGTAAGAGTTTAATTTCAGCCGAACGCTGAACAAATTGCTTGAAGCCTTCTAGATCAGAAAGACAGAATCCTTCATTATAATTAAAATGCATGTCCAATGTAGAATCAAAGGATTGAAAGTAACTTTATTGAAGGAAATTTCTTCTCTATAGAAGAATATTTATTGATAAAAAAAATGAGCCATATTCCATGGTTGTGTTGTCGCAGTCAGAGTTTGATTTCAGACGACAGCTGAAAAAACTGTTTGAGGCCTCACTGTAATAGAGGGTTTCTTAAAATTGAACAAAAATGTGTCTAAATAGTTCCTAAACAAATAAAGTCGAATTTGGAAACTCCATGCATTCATTATTGAATTTAGTGAGATGCTCAGAAAGCTCAATAATGAATAATTACTGTTTTAAAATTCGACTATATTTGTTTTGGAGTTATTTTAGCACATTTTCTCCCAATTTTGAGAAACCCTTTTTTACAGTTCGACGTCAGAATCTTCTATGATTATTAAAATCATATCCAATATAAAATCAAAGATTAAAAGTTTCTTAACGCTTAAAGTTTATTTTCTAGAAATAGTATTTAAAAAACAAATCTCCATTTTCTACAGTTAAATCCTGTAATTGCAGTCAGAATTTGATTTTAACCAAGCGCTGCATAAATTCTTTGAGCCCTTCGAGGACAGAATTTCAGAATCTTTTAATATAATTTAAATCATGTTCAATATGAAATCATAGGATTGAGCGCAACTTTATAATAAAAATTTTCTAAAGCTTATTTGCGAAAAGAAAAAAAAACAACATTTTTTACGCTTAAATTGCGTTATTGAGCCTGTACTTGTAAACATCTTGATCAGAATCATTAAATAATTATTAAATCTTGAATTATTATTAAAATCGTGTCCATTATTATAAGAAATTAAAGTATTAAAAGTGACTTTTTAGGGAAAAAAATCATTTCTGAACACTACAGGTTTTGTTTTCCATATAATAAGATAAAAAAAATTTGACATTCTCTATGAATATGTTATGCCAAAATTTTGCCATTTTCAATGACTATTTTAATAAGAGTCTGACTTTACCCAGACGCTGAAAAATTATTTTGAAATGTCCTAACTTAGAATGTCAGAATCTTGTGTTGTTATTTAGATCGTGTCGTAAATGAAACACTAACATTGCTAAGAACAAGGTGCAAAAAATTGATGCATGCCTATTAATGTAAAACTAATGTAAAGATTAGCTTAAATTATGAAAAAATTTCAGAACAAACATATTTATGCACTATCCTGTATTCATGCTCTTTAATCAAACTCTGTACCGAATATTCAACATTCTTCTCACTTATTTAATGAACATTGGCTCAAAAACTGAAATCTGAAATGTACAGGCCTGCAACTT